TTTTGGAAGGAAAAGTTCAACCCCACAAAACTTAGTCCCCTGCCACACCACTGGTGTGGGGCAGGACAAATTTGTAAATTCAAATGGGAACTCCCATTTTTCATAGCAGATTCGGATTCTACCTCAAAATTTATGTAGGGTTTACTGAAGCATTTTTTTCAAATTGTGGTAGATGGCACCATAATTGATGAAAATTAGTTACATTCTTACTTTATTATGTTATTGTCGACTTGGGACTTATCATATTATTAGGACAATTATACTAGCATGCCTGTTATTTGCAAAAGGAGGAGTTCTACATTGTTTTAGTACATCGCTGTGATAAATCTACTGAAGAGAGACATAATGGTGGTGTAATAAACACTAGTATTGTGTTTTATTCCAAAGACACATGGCAAATTTTCCATCAAATTCCTTTATTAGTTGATTAATTTGATGGGAAATTTGCCATGTGTCTTTGGAATAAAACACAATACTAGTGTTTATTACGCCACAAATATAAAACAGGACACGGTTTCAAAAAGAAAATAAAAAAAAAAGACATAATGGTCTGAAACATGAATATCATGTGTATTGTGTGTACAAGGAAAACAATATATGAAAAAAATTTTTATTTTTTCTGATTAAGAATGCCTACTTTTACAAATAACCAATACGACAATACAATTGTCCTAATAATATGATAAGTCCCAAGTTGACAATAATATAATAAAGTAAAATGTAAGGATATAACTAAATTATTTATGTCCTTTTTTAATGGGAAATTCCATGTTTTATTATATAATGATTCTGGACTGGAAGAAAAGTAACTGTGACAGCCAAACATGGTTTTTGAATCATCATAGATGGTGCTACAATCAGCAATGTCATGTGAGCTTCATTTTTCATAGAAAACCCACATGCTTTACAACATAATATTCTATGTTGAAGGAAAGTGTGGGCCAATTGCTGCACCAAGTTAAATCAAATACCCTGTATATTAAACATAAACAATTACCAAAATTATATCAGACTACAGTAATACCCCAAATTTACGCGATAGGTGGGACCAAGAGATAACCGCATAAGTCGAATACGCGTAAGTCAGTGTATAATTTCGCAATTTGTGTAAAATCCAAGTCAGATGTATGTAAGCTAATAAATGTTCTTGTTAATCTTATCTTGTCTTTTGATTCGTTCACGGTTACAAGAAATCACCACATACACTCTCTCAAGTCTCCGTAGATATAACAAACACAGAAATAAATAACACAAAATAAATTGTAGCTATGTGTCGATTCCGCACGACACGTCCGAACATGTAAGCTGTACAATAGTGTGGGGGGAGTGAGTAATCAAGAATTGCGTGGCGCTTAAACAAAAGACGAACCTATGATATTCGAAAATTGCGTAACTCCGAGTTTGTGTAAGTCAGGGTAGCTTAAGTCGAGGTATTACTGTATATTACTATTCTTATTACCTAGGTAACCCAAAAATTCAATTAACATTAATCCTTCTACAACAATGCGACAATATATCACCAGTTTGGCATTAGCCGAAACATATGAAATAAAAATACAGTAGACCCCCCCTATAATGCAGGTTCATATAATGCCTATTCGTATATCGCGGCAAAAAAAATTGTGACTGTATTTGTATAAAGACACTAAAAGAGACTCGTAAAATGCAGTGAAATATCATTGCTGACTCGTGTCACGACAGGATTGGTCGATTCTGGACCAATAGCAGACGAGCAGCTGAACTACTTACACGTTACAAAGAGTTTAGGTGAGCAAGTTGAGTTTACTATCGTCTGTACAGTATATAAATTAGGTACTGTAAGTCTAATACAGTACTGTAATTTTATACATTTCTTGTGAAAAAAACATTTCTTATTCAATGGCCATAAAATTGATTTCTATTAATGATGTCTCCAAAGTTCAACGAATTTTTCACAAAAAAATAACTTATCAGAAAATGGGAAAAAACAACTTATCAGAAAATTATAAAAATAGCAGATTGTCATTGGCAACGGCAAAAGAGTGGAAACATCATTTGCACTTGTTCGCACAAAGTCTGTTGTTCATCTCAAGTAACTGCCGAACAGAAAGTCCGTTGTTTGCAGCATCCCTTATACAAGGCACCACTGTATATATTAAATGCTAAGTAATTTGGCACTAGAGTATGGTGACCAGATATTGTTTTGCAAATCCAGGGACATATCAATTGTCACTTTTAAGGGTACACAGCAGCCTACATGTATAAGTATAGTCAAATGTGTACTGTACTGTATATACTCATGACTGAGACCTAAACATTTTAATTTTTTTTGGTTGAGCTAGTTTTCTTCAATTAAATAGCTCTCCTCCAACAAGGTGCTTTTTAGCTAGATTTTTGCCCATGTTTTAAAATTTCAGGAAATGCTAAAAAGGAGCCAAACAGTTGGTTTGTTCATAAAAAAAAACTACCTGACAAATCTAAAAACATTGGGCATGTTCTCTGGCAGTGACAATATTACAGTAACCACAACCAACAATCACCTGAATGATTGGACTAGAATTTGGCTAATTAAATGATTAATATAAAGCAATTATTGTGGGTTCAAGGCCCACCCCAGATCAGTTCTTTTATTCCAGAAGGTTCTAAATTATTTAATAAATTATTAAAATTATAATTATCAATTTAATCAAGAGATGGCACATAATGCCTCCCTCTAGTGACAAGTTGCTTTATATATATATATATATATATATATATATATATATACTCATCAGGTATAAGATGTTTATTATTACAGTAATAAGGAAACAAAAAACCAGAGACAAAATTCCATTCCAGGGACAAAGCCAGCAACTATCTTGGAAATCTGGGATAAATGAATGGTCACCCTAACAAGAGGCAGGTGTTAGATGCCATATCTTGTCAAATTTAATAGTTGTAGTAGTACTAATAATAGTATAACCCTATATTATTTGGCAATGTTTGGCTTTAAGTTAATTCATTAATTAAAGAATTCCAGCCAATATCATCTGTTAATCACTAAAGCAAAGCTGCTATTTATGAAGACTATGGTTTTTCTATATTTATTATAAAATAGTAAAATTTGTTCAATTCAGAACAAAACTTGTCTATTTCAGAAAATTATTTGTCCTGGAAAAACAAGCCTTTTCTCATACTGTATATTTACTTTGTCTAAAACTAAAAACTGAATTAATACTAATCTGGAAGATGTAATTGTTAATTTAGTAACATGGTTCAAACTAAAATATTTTCTAAATCAAATTTAAATGCAATGGAGAGTAAAAGTGATTAAAATTTAAGAAAAAAATGAGAAAGTATTATTATAATAATTTCTCTTTAAAATGTAATTAAGTGTTCTATTGTTCATACAGATGACTATTCCTTCATAAATTATCAATGTTTTTTCCTCCAGTTATGATCAATGCTCAATTTCTTTATTTTCTCATTTCATATATTCCATATTTTGTGACCGCAGGGTCGGCACCTCTTTGGCGCCCTGTCAGGATGACACCACTGTGTCTTGTAGTAGACACAGGAAAATTTTATTGGCTGTTTATTTGGTTATGCGAACGGTCGCGTTGTGGACTTCTAGTTCCGGGATGGAGGCGTACCGAGAGAACCAGAGGAATTACACTCATCTAGACGTAATACCCGTTTATTGTTCATACTATATACAATCGCAATAGCTATATATAATTGGGTTAATTAACATATCTAAATTTTTTCGGTTACCCGTATTCCTGAGAGAGAGAGCTCACATATATTTCGCGCGAGGATAAATACCTTGGTTTGAATCATTGATTAGTCTTGGGTTGAATCGTTGATTAGTCTTCACAAAGTTCTTTCGAACGTTGAAATGTTTTTCAAGTAGCACAAAGTTCTTCCTAACGTTGTCGGGCGTAGTCCTTTCGAACAGCGGCGATTAGATGAGTTCCTGGTAGCGACTTATCCGTTTTTGTAAAAAACACAGTGCGCACAAATTTCCAGAGACTGACTCTTACGTATCGACCCCTCCTTTTTATAAAAGGGGTCTCGTTGGGTTTTTTCCACTGCCTTATTAGGACTGTTCTTTTTTCTTTGACCAATAGTCTTTTTCAAGATTTCGGGTGACACATTCGATGTATCATGCTTGACAAGGAACTAAGTTCGTGGGAAAAGATTTTTATGCTCGTTTTTTTATGGCAGTTTGAAGTTAAAATTTTTTCCATTTCCTCCCTTAACAAAAATTTTATTTAACGAATTTATTCACTAAACTCGACTCTCACACCGACTCTTCTAGTTCCGGGATTGGCGCCCTGTCAGGATGACACCACTGTGTCTTGTAGTAGACATAGGAAAATTTTATTGGCCGTTTATTTGGTTACTTTTCTCATTTCATATATTCCATATTTTATGGCACTTATATTGGATTTGTTGTCCTGAGTTTGACATCAAGTAAATTTATTATTATTACTTCTTACTAAAACAAATGCTAATTACTATTTAATGGTGCAAAATATGTCTACAGTATAAAACTTTAAGAAAAACAAAATAATAAATGAAAGTTACTTGCCAGACTACTTCATAAGTGCATTTGATAGACCAAAAATGTTTAGGTTGCCCCAGATAACTAGACAAACACTAATTTTAAATACTGTTAAGTATTATTTTATGTATAAAACTACTGAATTCAGTGAACTTAACCATTGAACAGAGAACAATACTTTTTTCAGATGTCAGGTTTTCTTTTTATATTATAAATCATTATAATGATATAAGAATTTATATTAAGTTCAAAAATTATAATTAAAATCATTTTGACTGAATCAGAGATGATAATTTGATATTTTTTACAATTTACATAATCACTGAGATGAGTGTGTGTATAGGAAACACGTAAAAAGAAAATTAAAGATCTAAAATATAAACAATCAAAATTCATATATACAAAAATTATCTGGTCAAAGGAAAAACGTTAAAAACTTTAAATTAAGTAACTGAAGTTATTAAATTTTATTTACCGTATGTCAACTGAAGCAGGTGGTCTATCAAGCCTCTCTTCACGATTTCTACGATTCTTCCTCTCTTCTATTTCCTTTGGTTCCTCACGGGATCCTTGCTTCCCACTTCTTTCAATAAATGGTTTTGAATTTCGAGGCTTAGGAAGAGCATCTAGATACGAAAAGAGTAACATTAAAATGTGAATATTTTAAATTTAATACTTATAAATACTTCATAAATTGTTAAGTCTATTTTGATACAACACGTATTAAATTTGTAAATTACAGTGAGTGATCAATTAACGAACACTTTCGCAAAAGATTTTTATGTTCGGACAACGAATACCTCACAGAACAAACACAAGAAGCAGCGACGTAAAATAATGAATACTGTGAGACCCGAAAGGCCCCTGGGTCTTTATAGTGATTTTATTAATTATGTTAAATATTGTCACCAAATATTACTTCATTTTTGGTGAGAAAAATGACGTTTTAGAGTGGGAAAAATAGATAACAGATGTTACTTCCTTTCACAGAAGTTAGAACATCCTCTGTTTTTCCCTTATCTGCGAAAACTCTCGTTTTGATGGGAAATGGTTACCCCTCATTCATTCCCCTTTCATCCGTTCTCATGAAAGAGTTATTGGCCGATGATTGGTCGAAATTCAGAAGATATACAGGGAAATTGTCAGAATTCGGGGAGTTCAGCGACAGATCTGGAAGCGTCCAAACTCCATACGTTTTTCCTCCTGATGACCAACGCCCTTAGTCGAGACACTTAGAAAAAGTCCAGAGTCTGCACTTAGAAAATATACTTTGATTTTGTGCACATATTGATCTCCCATACAAAGAAGTAAATGAACTTTATCTCCAAAGTGTCCCTTGCATACAGAGAAGAAGACGAACGACAACTAAACAGGTCGTATGTTTTATAACGATTTTGTGAGCTCTCTCTCGATCGCGAATAGGGTATAATATAAGCTTAGCTATCTCCCGATTTGTATATTATTTGTAGTAGTTCTGTCTCTCGTTTATCCACATTTTGTATGAGTTTATTTTCTTGTTTTATTAAATTTATTATTTCGTTTTTAATTAAAATGTCTCCTAATTGTGTGACTGAATCAGATCGCATACGCGTGTTTGTCCGCGGATCGATAAATTGACAAACTGGTGTCGGGACCCTGACATAGGAAGAAGGTGAATTCGCCCCCACCAACTTCCGCTCTAAATTATAATCTAACAGTAAAGCCCTCCACACTCATTTCCCTACGTTTGGGAAAGGCCGTTCTTTGGATGACCGAGAACTGGTCTTACCGACTAGTGCCCGTAAGTGGCGTAGACTTTGATATACGTCCTGGCTGATCTCACAATACCAATTGGTCTTCCCTTGTCTTCAGACAACAATTCGAAACTTTTTGGAGTGCGGGAGATGTCAACATTGACTATCAATCCAGTATATACTGATCGGATAGTATTCCTCCAAACTTTGAAACTCTCCCTTGTAATTCCAGCCTTTTATTTTTCTGACAGAAACAATTCTTTTATAGTATTTGCAAGACTGTCGGGTGGGCACTCATTAAGTTTTGCGTCAGTTTTTTTTTTCGAAAGGTGAGAGTATAATATCACAGGTAGAGAGTGGGCAGATGTCTGATGTCTGTTGTTGCTGGGCAGTATGGCTTGAACAGGTCTACAGTAGGCCACAGTTCAATCTTATCTAAGAAAGATTGAGTATAATCGGGAAGACTCAAGCAGCTAAAGGAGTAACAAAAATCACATCTGAGAAATAAAGAACATTGAAGAGTTCATAATAGAACATGAAACTGATCTGATGACAGAAGAATGCCAAAAAACTCGGCAACAGATGTTTTCTTCCGAAAAAGAGAATTAATGTTGATATCTACTATTAAACATTTTTTTGAAGTGGGATTATGTCAGAATGATGGTCTTAGAATCGCATCCAAACCAGGTTGAGGTTAATAGGCTTAGGGATCTCTACAATTACAATGCTATTAATTAGTTCTGAAAAATCTTGGAGAGAAAAGCAATTGACATTGGACAGATTCTTTAACTCCCACAAACAGAAAAACAAGACTAATAAAAATGCAAGACTGTATGTATATGTATTTTTATTATTTCATATAAATAAACGTAATAAATAAAAAATATAAAAATAAAATATTCAAAAAATAAAAATGCATATATTTTTTATTTTTTGGAGTCTCCAGAACAAATTAATCAAATTCCCATAAAAACCTATGGTAAATTGATAATTGGTTAATGAACAGAGTCTTGGAACAGATTATGTTTGTTAACCGATCACCTACTGTATTTTATGTATTAGGTACATAATTTAAAGTGCGTCTTGTCCACTTTTGCTTAATTTTAAATACAGTCGACCCCCGTATAAGATCATTGATTATTCCGTTTTATATGAATTCCATGTTGTACGAGTCACTTAAATTTTACAAATACGTGAGCCGTTCACAGCCCGGTACACATATTTGTAAAATTAAAGTGACTCGTACAACATGGAATTCATATAAAACGGAATAATCAATGATCTTATACGGGGGTCGACTGTATTCAATAGTCACTTAAAGCTTTAAACTTGATAAATGCTTATAAACAAACATGTGGAATGAACATAATGTAAACTATTAGCCAGCAGAACTATAATTTCAACAAAGCATTGAGAAGATATTGAAGTTATAAAGAGGGAGAGCAGGTTTTCAAATGAAGTCATATTCCAATACAATAAATAAAAAAGACAACTTGAAAAATGCAGATTAAAAGTGTTTATTCAGAAAGCACAATAATTAATACTAGTTAAGTTCTCTGAATTTCAGGCAATTCATGCAAACAGTCAATATTATAATACATCTTTTTCTTCTACAAATTTGTATGACAAATAGTTGATCTGACTGCATTAGCCAGATATCACATGGAGTAAAAAAAAATTGGGGTTGTGTATGGAGACAGAATCACAGTCGTTTAAGGCATAAACCCATCTGTGTTATTAGAGGAAGGGTAAGGATGTAAATGATTAATCTTGATGGTTATCACAATCCAAGTCAACAATCATTGATCCAGATGATGATGCACTTGAAGTACAGTGATACCCCAAACTTACGCAATAGGTGGGACTGAACGATAACCACGTAAGTCGAGGTATAATTTTGCAATTTGTGTAAAATACAAGTCAGCTGCATGTAAGTGCATGTAAGCTAATAAATGTTCTCGTTAAGATTATCTCGTCTTTTGATTTGTTCACGGTTACAAGAAATCACCACATAGTCTCTCTCAAGTCTCCGTAGATATAACAAACACAGAAATAAATAATATAAAATAAATTGTAGCTATGTGTCAATTCCACGCAACACGTCCAAACATGTAAGCTGAACAATAGTGTGGGGGGAGTGAGTAATCAAGAGTTGAGTGGTGCTCAAACAAAAGATGAATTGACGAAATTTGAAAATCACGTAACTCCAGGTTCGTGTAAGTTGAGGTAGCATAAGTCTAGGTATTACTGTACTTACATCAGAGTTGATGTGCTCTGCTTTCTTACGCTCTCCATACAATCTACATTGTTTGGAATTAGTCATTTTGGGTTTTTATGGTTCATTTTGACTTTTTCTTTCCAATGATATATGTTTCTTACATTTCTGTTCATATTTTCTTTAAAGAAAATTTTCATAGCGTCAAAAAAGTTATGAAAATTTTCTTCAACTCGGCACACTTATTGGATTATAATTTTACAAACTATTTTATTGGTTATTACTGCTAAATAAAATTGCAGATTCTGTCATTCTGTGCAGCACTGATTTCAAAAGTCTATCTCTTCATGATTCAAAGTTTCAATACCTAAACAAGATGCAACATTGCCATTTTCAGTGTTAACATGCAACTGCTACACCCCCCTCATGGCTTCACACCCCTACTACTCATCATTTTAAATACAGACATAAACCTTGTAAACTATAAATGATATGTGCAGCATATCTTATTTTTTGCTGCTCCAATTTTCATAGATTCCCCTCTATACCAAACCGAATTTAAACACATTCAGATAAAAAGAGCAAGAGCAACAGACATTCTGCAGTATTTGCAATTCTCAGACTTTTTCTGCTAAAAAATCTTATTCCCTGACTATCTCTAATTTTTCCAGGTCTGTATGGACCCTGATTAGAAGTCTTTTAAGCCATTCTTAAACAACAGTCATCAACTTATACAATTCAAGAATGGATAAAAATAATGTTCATAATAATGCATTTTGAAAATAGCATATCAAAACAATTCAAATAAAATTAAATTTTCAAACTTTTTAGTATGTAGACAACACCCAGCACAGAAATGGCATCATTTAATTTTTTTATGATATTGACATTTATATATATATATATGATATTTTATGATATAATTAAAACTTCTGCCGCATATAAAAGGATTGCCACAATTAATTTCACATGTTAATTAAATTCCATATCAAGCAAGGGATACCTGTATATGAAAATTCGTCTCTGATGCAAGTTTTTAAGTAATTCCATAAACCAATCCCACTTATGGTGATAACAAAAATTTGCAGTCTGCTAAAATTGATAACATTTGGAAAAAATACATTAGCTTTTAAATTCAAAAGGCAATTCTGTAAAATCCTGATATTTTCCCCAACATTTAGAAGTATCAACATAAAATTCCATGAAACTAGCAGGTATTATATAGTATTAATAGTTGTTTAATTAAACACCAGGTACTTAATATATATATTGGACTAAAAACAGCTATGTAGAAACACTATCATTTATATACTAATATAAAACAATTAAATCAAACAGAACTTATTATGCTGTATATCCAATTCTGTTTTTACAAGGAATTTATTTATTTTTTTAACTATTTTGATTTAATATGGTTAAAATGTCTGGTGTTTATCTTCTGAAGACAAAACAAAATCTATAACTTAAGGTAGCACTGATGGGTAAACTGATTCAGAAGATAAACATGGGAAATACATTATTGATCTTACAACAAAAAGTCCAACGTTGCTTTGAGTTGGGGCTAAAATTAATTTATACAGTAGAACCTCGAAAACTCGGCTCTCGATAACCCGGCACTCCGGATAACTCGGCCACACACTGGCAGGGCAAAAAAATCCTTAGTTAATTAATTTTCATT